TATTAGTCTAATTTCATTAAGCAGTTTAAGTTCTTCGTTTTTTAAAAATGTTATATCTTATACAGTGAAACCGAAAGATAAACAATAATATGAACTGAACAAGTGAAAGGTAAAAAAATTGGTCTTATCATGACAAATTGACAAGTGTTTTGATCACGATATATCAAGGTGTCATTTGTTTGTTAGTATTTTCTGAGACTAGGTAATGTTTGAATTATGATTTTGATTATACTACTGACTTAAAAAAAAATATTTAAAAACTTTGTACCATGCAAACAAAAGCATGTAGATGATAAGAAATGCATAATTTTTTTTGGAGAAATCTACAATGACAACATAAACATTACCAAATGACAATAGAAATATTAGAATATGTTTGAATAAGAAAATAACATACAATATTAATACAGTTATTAAATTAATAGCATAAAAATGTGTATTACGTTGCCCTCAACTCGATTGGATTAATTCAATTTTTCAAATCATTTTATTTCATTTTAATTTACATATTTTCTGGGATTGAGATTCCCTTTAAATTTTTGGATCTGAATTTTTTTTCTGTAGCACTAAATACAAAGATGTTAACTAATGTATGTATGCGCCATGATTACTGAAACATAAATACAACGAAAACTTACGTGGAAGATAAAGTTTTGTTCCTTAAAAATAAGTTCATAAAATATTTTTAAAATTCCTACATTTGTAATAAAATATCAATCAAAACCCGTGCATCGCACGGATCCATACCTAGTCCATATATATTGTTTAAATATATTGCGTTAATGTGTATAAAATTAATAAAAGTGATATAAAATTGTATAATTATCAAAAATTTGAACTAAATAGTTTTTAAAAATTTTGTAGATATATAAGAAATTAATGATTTACGATTAGAAGTTTATATTTTTAAAACTTTTTACCAATTTTTGAAAACTTTAGTAATACAAATTGTAAAATAAAATAGAATAAAATTTCAAATTTTGTAATGTTGTATTTGAATATATTTATTTTAAATATGATGTATGTGTTATTACCATATTTTAATTTGTTTACAATAAATAAATATCAACATTAAATGAATAGTATGCATTATTACCATATTTAAAAATTTTTAAAAATATATAAATCAACATTAAATGTAATTATCCATATCATATTTTGCCATACGCCATGTAATCAAATTTTAGTAGTCATGTCAAATTTTTTTGTGAAACTGATTGTAGAGATAACATGTAGCAAAATCAGTTTGCAAATAATATATAGATGTGAGTAGACTCAAGAAAGTATGTTTTTCCTTTTTCTTATTTGCATATTTCCCCATACATTACACAATGTTCTTGTTTTAGGTATTTTCTTCATAGAAAAGAAAACTTCCTTTAGTTAGTAAGGTTTATAAGGGAGCTACATTTAGTTAGTACGCTTTATAATAACTGGGGTTAAGTCTGCCCTACGGGCGGGTGAGCAAATTAAAAATCACAAAATATATTTTAAATTAATAATATTTAACAAATTTATTGGTGACTAAAAATAATTAATATTCAATATTTGTTTTTGTTGTTCTTGTTAGAAAGCAAATGCTTGTAAATTTTTTAATTAATGTAATTTTTTTTCGTTATGTTTTTACTATAAAATAAGAAACATATTCACAAAATATTTAAATCCAATACATAAATTATTTATTTTCTCTATATTACACATTTATTTTTAGATATTTAGTTATTTAAATTGGTTTGTTAATTAATTTTTTCTCTAGTACTGGACCCGTGCATGAATTGTTTTCTAGTAGATATTTTGTTTAACACTTGTTTTTATTTTGAAACATTTTATTATCATTATATATGAATTATTTTATTTAATTACTATTTGTATCAGTTTCTATTGAAATTGTTTAATGTGTTGATATTCAGTCTTACTCTCGTTACAAAAACTTAATTTCATAATAAAATTAGTGATATACTTTAGTGAGACTAAGTCTATTTTTATCTTGGAACTATAGATTTTTTGGTGCATTTGTCTTATTTTAGATTATATATTTTGATTTCTGCGATTATTTTTATCTTATTTTTATTGCGTCTCTTTTTGTGTGTTTACAAATAGTTTGTTTTTAATTTTCATGTCCATGTTAAATTTATGCTTGAAGATTTTAGGGAATTCATAACATACAATCTATTTTTTTTATAAAATTTATTTAGATATACAATAATTTTTATTGCTTGTTCATTATTATTTTATCTGTTATATATTATTTTATGTTTTTCACTAATTGTTATTGAAGTCTTCAGTTTAATTATTATTGTTTTTTGCTATATGTTTTTATTATTTTTTGTTAAGTATCAAGTTTTATCTCAATGTTTTTGTTAGGTGCTAATTTCCCCAAATTAAAATTTAGTAATTAACACACAATGCCTCATACTTATAAGTATAACTTAAGATTCCAGTAATATCATATTTACTAGATGATACCCGCGCGCATGCGCAGTGAGTTTTTTATATTAATGTTTGTTTGGTTTTAATATTTTGTAACACTATATTCTTTATCGCTTGTAAAATAATGAATACAAATGTTGGTCTCTTAAATATATCATATGTATGGACATTCGAGGATCAGTTGGTTGGTTTGATTGATTCGGATTTTCATTTTTGGCATTATTCGGTTCCTTCCGGATTCGGGTTGGATCAGAAAACAAAGAATACTAAACCTACTTTAAACCACCATTTGTTGGTATTAGTTCATCCTTCAAACTTTAGGGGAAATCAGGTTTCAATCTTTCTTTTTAGGGAAAAATAGATTGATATAGTTTAACTGTGTGCAATTAGGATGAGGTCCAAAGTTTATGTGGATTTATTACTATATGATAGTTATGATGGAGAAATATGTCGTTTACCCAGTTTTTTTGATTAATGGTTTAACATTTTTTTGTTCAAGTAAGATACAAATGATTATAAATCGTATAAATATACAGTCTCATTAATAGATATTCATATTATATATATATATATATATATATATATATATATATATATATATTATAATCGTTTTTTGATATTTTGTTTGAACAAGATATCGATTATTAAAATTTTATGTAAAAATTTTCAATAATTTCTCAATTAATAATTAAATATTAGTATCGATTAATATATATTCAGTTATCCTTTATAAAATGAAAATAAAAGTTCTATAATATTTTAGTTATATATTAAGACTAATGATATAAAATATGTGTAATTACGTTTTTTTATATATATGTGTAACTACTTTAACCATAATATCTTTTGATATCTTTTATTTTAAATATAACTATGTATATATATATTACAAATATTAACATTTTTTGCAAAATATTTTAACATGATCTCACTTTTGAAATTTTATTTGCTAAATTTTCGCAATTTTTAAATTAATAATGAAATATTGTTATCAACTAATATATATTCAGTTATCATTTATAAAAAAATATTTAGCATATTTTATTTATTTTATAACGTTAATCTATCATTTTAAAATAATTATTATTCTGAGATAAATATGTTAACATTATATTCAATTGATATATTATTATATTTTATTTATAAATATTTAAGTTAAAATAATATAATATTTTTTTCACAACGGATTGACATACTAAACTATATATTACATGTATACAAACTAAAATATCTTAGAACTTTATATATACAACAATATATTATCTAAAGGTTAAATTCCATAAAAAAATTAAAAATAAAGGAAATCACTATTTTTTTTTTGTAAGCTACGAAATCACTATTTTTTTTTGTAAGCTACGAAATCACTATTTTCTGGACAAGACGAATGCATATATGCGTCCTGCAATGCTTTCTGTCTGAATATGATCCATTAGATCTATGTGTATCAGCTCCAATACTCGTTTGGATGTGATCTCTTTAACTTGCTTCTGCTGGACCTTTATATGTTTCCCTTGAGAGCAAGCCTTGCAAACTGATCATGTGGATTCTTCTAACTTAGGAATTCCCCTTACTACATTAGTTTTGACGATTCTCTGGAACCCATTAACATTCATGTGTCCCATAGATCAAGCTGTGATTCTGTAACTGACATACATGTGTTTGATGGCTTCCACATATAACAATTGTTGCTGAATTCCACAGCTAAAAGTCTTGGACAGATTGAGAGTATGTGCAGTGCCTTCCTCTTGTCTGGCTCACCTATTCAGACACATAAAACAAAGGTCAGTTGGGATGATTTATTTGTTCCAAAAGAGAAGGGTGGACTTGGTGTTAGAAAGCTTCGGGAATCCAATAGAGTCTTCGCCTTAAAACTAATCTGGCATTTGTTCACTCAACCATCTTCTTTGTGGGTAAGCTGGTGAAGCATTATTTACGTAAATAAAACTCCCTCTGGGATGTAAGAGATGATACAAAAGGATCCTGGATATGGAAGAAATTACTGAAGTTGAGGGATGTGGCATATTTTTCAGGTTCGACATCAAGGATGGTAAAAGCTACCACTTCTGGTTTGATGATTGGCTGGGGCAGGGGAAGTTGATAGACGTCACAGGTCCTACAGGCACTACATATCTGGGTGTGAGGAGGCACAAAAAAGTAAGTGACTCTACAACATCGAAGGGATGGTGTATTAGAGGACAATGAAGCTGTAAGTTCCATGAGCTTTATAATAGTATCTTGGAAAGGGACGCCCACGGCCTGAAAAGGGCAGGGACATTGTTTTATGGAAGCATGGAACTGATGATTTTCGAGATCACTTCTCAGCAGCCTGTACGTGGGAGCAAGTAAGATCAGGCGAACTGCGGTGGAGTGGAGCCGAGAAGTCTGGTTCACACAAGGAGTTCCTCGATTTTCATTTATTACTTGGCTGGCCATGAAGAATAGAGTGTCTACTAGGGACCGTATGAGACAATGGGGAATGGTTCAGAGCTGTGAACTATGTGGAGAACGGGATGAGACCCGAGATCATCTCTTCTTTGCTTGTCTTTGAGAAGAGCGGAGTGTTCAGAAAAGTGATGAAAGGACTGTACTACGGGACGAGAGAGAGTGTAGGGTTGGCTGAAGAGATGGTGAAGAGGAAGTTGGTGGGAAGAAGTGAGCTAAGATTTTTTTATGGGTATTGTGGTTGGGAAAAAGAACAGTTGAAAGCAGAGATTTTGAGAGGGCATTGGACAGTAGCTGCTTGTAGCTCAAGTGTTGTTGAGCTTGGTTCGGGTGACCAAAGTCATGGTCTCTGGGATGAGGTTCTTGGTCTTATTGGCCCTCAAACTGGTTATGTTATCTAAAACTTTGTTTTATTTAGCATGAGTTAGTTAAGAACAACTTAATAGAGAATGGATTAACCAACCAATGTTCCAAAAATCGATTCAGGCATTGTCTAGTCGGTAAATCAGTAATAAACAAAACAATTTTTTCTTATGGCTATGAGTATCAGAGCCGGCTGAGAGCATGTGCTCGGAGTGCTTTTGCACCGGGACTTTTTATTTTTCTTGTTTTTCTTTAGAAATTAAGGCCCTAATTTTCTAAAAACATAAATATTAAGGATCCTAATTTTCAAAGTTATCAGTAAAATTTATCCCAAAAAATTATTCAGCACTAGGCTTATAATATATATGAGCCGGGCTGATGAGTATATTTCTACTTTCTCCTTTAGTCGTCTATATAATTTGTCTTGGTTAAAAACATGTTCCAACACGAAGCATAAGTTGAAAAAAGAAGAAGAAGGTGTTTATGTTGCATAGCATGAGTTACTTCTGAACAATTTAAAAGATTTACAAAACATAATCAATGTTCCAAAAATCGGGTTAGGTGGCATTCAAACGGCAAATTGGTTATATTCAAAACATTTTCTTTAAAATATGTTGAAATAGCGTTGACAATATTACATAGCATGAGTTACTTTTTCTTGGAACACTAGCATGAGTTACTTCTGAACAACGTAATATATAATGGATGTTTAAGAGTTACTCTTGAACAACTTAATTATCTCTGAATACAATTAAGTCTACTTGTTGTTACTAATGTCTCTCACTCTATAAATTCTAACCTTGTTATCATGTCATTCCAAGCAATCCAAGAGTCCTTAAGAGAAAATAAAGAAAGATAATTTAAGAGATGGAACAAACATCAAGAGCATTAGTCTTATTAGCTGCAGTTTTATGTGTTGCCGTTTTGATCACTCGAGGAGTAGCTCACGATCAACCAAAACCTCTACCTACTTTTCCTATCGACCTAGAGAAATGTTGGTCATCTCTCTTTAATGTCAATGGATGTGTACTTGAACTCTTTGAGTCTGTTTTCTCTGGCAAGTTTGGAAACGTTGGAATCGCCTGTTGCATGGCGTTTTCGACCATTGATGCCAACTGTTGGCCTCATATGTTCCCGTTAAACCCGTTCTTCCCACCTCTCCTTAAGGACAATTGCGCACACATTGTTCCAAATTTACCCAAATACAAGTGAAAATCATTTGTTATATAGCTTAGAAAATGATAGTCATGTTTCAATAGTCTACCAATGTCATATTTCATATCTAATAAACTGAGTTTCTTACCAAGTTGATTGGCATTTTGCTTAATGGCCTAATCAATATTATTAAAATATGATCATTCATGTCTTATGGCCTTAATGAAAAACACAGTCTTACCTAATTATTTCTTATTTTTACAAAGAAAATTGTAAGTTTTATTAGTGACATTTAAGTCTTTTGATTTTTCGAATCAAAAACTATATCCTATTGAAAAACAATTGTGGAGAGAAGTGTGGAAGACAAAAGCTCCACCAAAAATAAAACACTTTATGTGGTGTGCTCTATCTGGTGCGTTAGCTGTTAAACAACGTTTGACTACTAGGGGTATTCAGCTAGACCCAACATGCTCTGTTTGTGGTGATGGTGCTGAGAGTATATGTCATGTTCTTTTTACATGTGTTAAAGCACGTGCCACATGGGAACAATCTAACTTCCCAGTACCTTTAGGAGGTTTTTCTCGGAATTCCACCTTTCTAAATTTTGTGCACCTGATCAAGATTGTTAAGAACTCATCTATCGATATACATACAAGAAAAGTTTTTCCATGGTTGCCGTGGGAAATCTGAAAAGCTAGGAATGCTTTTGTTTTTGAAACCAAGGTTATTGAGCCTTCGTTTATTGCTAAGAAAACTTATGAAGAAGAATCCACATGGTTTGATACATTCACAGGAACATTAGATGGTGTGGATGATGTCGATACGGAATTGGCTCGATGGAAAAAAACCCCAATGGTTTTCTCAAATGTAATGTTGGGTCCTCATGGGTCAATTCAAATCATCTTAGTGGTGTTTCATGGATTTTACGTGATGAAAATGGGTGTACAATCATGCATAGCCGTCGATCCTATTCCTATATGCGCACAAAAACAGAGGTAGACTTGTGGGCCCTTTTCTAGGCGGTTGAATGTTTGCATAATTTACATTTCTTAAATATTATTTTTGAGACTTCCTCAGAGAGCCTACATGAAGAACTCACAAAGCCTGATGAACACCATAGCCACAGCCATATTCACTACAATATCTCTTTTCTTCTGACAAGGATAGTTTCATGGAGTTTGGATCACGCTCTTCCTGAACGAAATGAAGCTGCAATGGCAATTGCTTTAAGTGTCACTCGTGATCTGCGTCACCAGTGGTACATCGCCTGAAATGCTCCAGTGCGGCTACATCATTTACTAGCTTTGGAGACTCAGCAATAAGGGGGTTTTGGTGAGATCCCTTCCACTTTTGATTGGGTGTCTAATGACATCTTCTCTTATCTCTTTTGTTTTTCCATTATGTATCATTTTGAACTCTTCAAGTGTTATATAAAAAATAATAATTAATTTAATTCATTGCATGATCCATTATCCGTTAAAAAAGTCCACTCCAACAATCATAAATTTAATTTCTTAATAGACCAAAAACCATTTTATGCTTTTGAACAAAAGAAATAAACTATCTACATTAAAAATAATTGTGGGAACCGAAACTCACACTTGTCGATTTCCGTTAAATAAGGAAACTTAGGAAAACCCTAATTTTCCAGAGGAACCGGATCTCTGCATAAGCCAACGACAAGTAACCAAATAAATGCGGAAAAATATGAAAAACGTAATAAAACGAATTTATAGAGAAAATCGATCTTATTCCCGATTCGCTTAAGAGCGTTAGGATCATTTACAAGGAATTGCAAAGGCTTTGGCCGCAAGGGCCATCAGCGAATTACAAACATAAAACCCTAAATCTAGTCGAGTCACAGCTCGATAACGAAAGACGGAAAAAGATAAGAAAAAAGGTTTGATTGATTTCGGACTGAACCTTATGAAAGGCTGCCTACGTACCCCTTTCGGGGATCAAATCGAACGTAGTTCAGTTGATAGGGCTGGACCAGAGATCGAACTGCCTGGGCGAGTTCGTCTAGTAATTGAGCGCCAGTCATAGAAACCGAACTTGTCGAGAAAAAGCCTAAGTTTCTAAGTGCGGAAAATTCTAAGTATAGAAAAGTTGTAAAAGTCTCAGATGAGAGCTCTGAAATTCGTCCCTTTGCTTCTGCCCTATGCCTCTTGCTTATATACTCCCCTCCTAGGCGGTTTAATCTTTCCATTTCGCCCAGATTCGAGTTTAATGAGAATCTTCCATTTATCTCGATCTTTCCTTTTTTCCCGCGGAAATCTTCTATTGATCCTCAAACTTGACATTTATCTTCAAGTTTGACATTTATCTTCTTTCTGCGAGTAAATCGCCAAAACGTCGTCGTATCTTCGGGTTGGACTTCGTTTAAAGTCGCGAGTGGCTTTTATCGCTTTTTATGACTTTCCGAGCCGTTTTGCGATAAATCCGTTTTACGAATTTAGACGAGATCGTTTCCTGATACGATGCCGTTTTTAGATACGTTTCTCGAGTTAATCGTAAAGCTAAGCAATGTTTGATGTTTAGATTAATCGTTGCCGTTTTCTACGATTTACTCAGGGTTTTATTAAAAACGCGTTTTGTACGATTTTTACGAAAAATCTCGAATAAATCGTATAGTTTAGGCAATATTCGGTGTTTCGTTTAACCGTTGCCGTTTTATACGATTTCCTCGAGTTCTTTTCGAGAAAACAAAGTTTTACGGTTTTTATCGTAAAACTCGAACGATAGGACGAATCGAGACGAGGGATACATTTCGAGCGTGATTCGGAATACGATTGTGTCGAAGGACGTATGCATCGAATCAAGGATGTGGGAGATCGAGGCTCGAGACGTCCGGGAAGTCTCTAGTTCGTCCAGCGGCGAACTAAGCCGGCTGGCTTAGTTCGCCGGTGGGCGAACTAAGCCAAGCTGGCTTAGTTCACCGGTGGGCGAACTAGTCAAGGGTCTCTTAGTTCTCCCATCGGCGAACTAAGCCAGCTTGGCTTAGTTCGCCGGTGGGCGAACTAGTTGCGACTTGTTCGCGTTTTACGGCTGTTTCGGTTTTTTGCGGTTTCGTAAAACGATTCTCGAGTTTTATAAAATGATCTTCGAGTTTTATAAAACGATCTTCAAGTTTTATAAAACAGCTTCTCGAGTTTTATAAAACGATCTTCGAGTTTTATAAAACGGCTTCTAGAGTTTTATAAAACGATCTTCGAGTTTTATAAAACGATCTTCGAGTTTTATAAAACGGCTTCTTGAGTTTTATAAAACAATCCTCGAGTTTTATAAAACGATCTTCGAGTTTTATAAAACGGCTTCTCGAGTTTTATAAAATGATCCTCGAGTTTTATAAAACGATTCTCGAGTTTTATAAAACGATTCTTCGAGTTTTATAAAACGATTCTCGAGTTTTATAAAATGATTCTTTGAGTTTTATAAAACGATTCTCGAGTTTTGTAAAACGATCCTCGAGTTTTATAAAACGATCCTCGAGTTTTATAAAATGATTCTAGAGTTTTATAAAACGATCCTCGGGTTTATAAAACGATTCTCGATTTTTATAAAACGATCCTCGAGTTTTATAAAACGATCCTCGAGTTTTATAAAATGATTCTTTGGGTTTTATAAAACGATTCCTTTTATATTTCTGCGGGGACTTTCGGCCGTTGATTCCGTCGTACCGGTTTTGACCCCAACAGTTAGCCCCCCAGCTCGTAAGAATCTTGAGCCTTTAGCGTAAGGTTCTTGCGAGTGGTTAACAAGTTTTAGTTAAGTTAGGCGGAATTAATGGTTGTAAAGGTCCGTTGAAAGTGATCTTTCCACTCTCCAGGGAGCGGAAAGCGTTTTAAGATTAGGGCTGTGCCTTGTGAAGGCTGCCTACGTA